CTGGGGAATTCTGGGAGTTGAAGTCCACACATCTTAAAGGGGCCAAGGTTGAGAAATACAGGACTTTATACCTGTCACTAAGAGCTTGCCCTGCCCTTAAAGTGTGGCTCTACCGATGTGGTGGGTGAACACTGAACACAGCATCGGTACCAACAACAACACTGAGGACTAGCAACCTGGTCAGGATGTTGTTAGCCAGCACAGGGAGCATGAATAGCTGGCGGGCCCTGACGGCCAAGACGTGTGCTCGCTCAACCCAAATCCCTTGTCCACACGTCTACGGACGATCAGTTTCCCGTTGAAGCGCAATTTATAAAAATAAGCAAGGAACAAAGAAATGCCAGATCCCACATTTTTGCAGCTGGGTGAGTCTTCACGCCAATCCGCCCTTTAAAAGCAAATGCGTGTATTCCTGCATAGAGCCCTACAGTCTCTTTGGGGTGGGGTGGGGTGGGGGCTTGAAAGCACCTTTTTTCCCTATTAAAAAAAATAGGGCATTGGAAGTTTGGGGTTGTCCCAGCCTCTTGCTCCTGTGATGTGATCTGATTTAATTGGATTTATTTTTCCCGTTCTGCCCTCCGCAGGGACATTGCGATAACTTCATCCAGCTGATTGAAAGGGTGGAGAATAATACCCTAGTCTGTGGAACGAACGCAGGTTTCCCCAAATGCTGGATTCTGGTAAGGGGGTGGGCATCAGATGCCAACGGGGGGTTGAGAAATGGGGGGCAACAGGAATCAATAGGAGGGCGTTCTCGGATCCCAACGGCGTTTATGGGCACGCCGGTCTCGGTTTCTTCTTCCAGGTCAACTCGACATTGCAGAAAACCAGCCAGGGCCAATTTGTCACCGTGCAAGGAGACAGCATCGTTTCAGGCTCGCCCTCCCAAAATGCTGTATCCATTGCCATCGGTAAGGGCTCGGAAGAACCCAAAAAGTATTTATTTCTGTATTTATATTTCAAATTTAGCTCTCGCTGGGCGGTTTCACAGCAAAACGAGAATAAATAGGGATTCAGCTGCGACTGCAATGCAATAAAAGCCATGTTCCTACAGAAGGAATGTCTCCTTTCCGAATGTCTTTCCAAATCTCAGGCTTGATTTTTTTTTCCCGGCCTCAGGCAGAGAAGGCTGTGTGCAAATCAGGATAATGCAGGAAGGATTCCACATTTCTAACATTAAAGAATAGCATTCCTAACCAGCTTTTCTCCCATCTCCCTATTCCAGAAGACAGCCTTTATTCCGCCTTATCCGGGAACAAAAGCTCCATCCAGCGGAGTTACGGACGGAAAAAAGGGATCAAGACGAGGGAGAGTTGGCTAAGCCGTAAGAATTGCCCTTCTTTGCTTTTCCCACTTCCCTGAAAACGAAATAAGTGCGCATAATGAAACGTTATTCTTGGGGTGTTTGGCTGACTTATTTTAATTTGTCCACCTCTGCGTCCGTGGAATCCCGAGAAGGACCCGCCTCGTTTCCAAAAGGAGCTTCTAGTCCTCATGAGGCGTGATTTCACAAAGGCTGGAAACTCTTTAAAAAGTCAGGGAGATGCTCACGTCGCAGAGCGCGTGGGCAGTCGGTGGGTCAGAGCAGCTGATCTGTGGATGATGATGATGATGATGATGATGATGATGATGATGATGATGATGATGATTTTGACTCACCCTGATCTTTCTGCTACAGACGCCGAATTTGCAGGAGCGGCTCTGTTCCCGCATGAAGACCGGAAGGAAGACGAAATTTTCTTCTTCTACAATGAGGTCAACCAGTCAGCTGGGCTGGACGAGGAGCCCTACAAAACTTGGCTTGGACGTGTCTGCAAGGTACGAAGGAGAAGGGCGGTTTGGGAAGCGTTTTCTTTCTGTCTTGGGTGCAGGGGAAGATTGGGTGCAATGGCTGGACAGAGCAACGTGCAGGATGGGGATTTGATTGATCGCAAGAGCACCTTTGGAAAACGTGGGAGCCTGAGCCCATCCAGGGGAAATAAAACTGAGCTTAAAGGAGGCTGGATTCAGTTTCAGATCATGGGAAGGGAGGTTGTGTTTATAGGACAGAAAGAAACTAGAATGGGTGTTGAAGGTGGCCGAGGAACGAGACTTTGTGCCTTTATCTCCTCTGGTGTTCAGGTGGATCAGGGAGAGAAGCCAGTCCTGGCTGATTCCTGGAGCACCTTCCTCAAAGCAAGGCTGGTGTGTGGACGCCCCCACGAACCCACGCTTTTCCACCAGCTGCAGGATGCCTTTGTCCTCAGAGAGGCTGGCCAGACCAAGGCGGTGTTATACGGGGTCTTCTCCAGCCCATGGTGAGCGGCGAGAAATGCCATAAAGCTGAAAGGAAGGTGGGATCCAGAATCCTGTTGGCTGCGTTCTTGGCTCTGTTGAGGGTGTGCCAACCTCAGTAAGATCTTCTAAAGTTGGGATGGAACTTATGCTGGAATGAACTTGGTAGGGAAAGAGGACATCTAATCTGAACCCGATGGAGCAACCTCAGCTACCTGAAGTTCAACCTAAACTTCCTGGGTTCGACCTAAACGACATGAAAACTATCTTTTTAACATCGCCTTTGAACCCCTTCTCTGTCGGAGCAACTCGGCTACTCGGGTGCTGTCCGTGGTCCTGAAATTCTCAGGCTGCGATCATTTTGCACACATTTCCAGAGGATACATCGATGCAAAACTCACCCCGTCGTCGTTTTTTTTTTTTAATTTACTTCTGCTTTATTTCTCCCAAGGGGCTCTTCAGCTGTTTGTTCATACTCGATGAAGGAAATCAGCTCCAATCTTGAAAAGTCCAAATTCAAGGATGCTACAGGCTCCATTCCTCATCCCAGACCTGGCACGGTAAGGTTCATCCGAGACTCTCATTTTGCTGGTGGTGTTGTTTTCGAACAGGAACACCTGAAAATCTCTCCCAGACAAATTTGGGGCCCCAGCTCTGTGCAGGTCTGTGGGGAAAAAATATACAGTAAATCTGAAATATATCCTGTGTCTTTTCCACTCTGGGGAGCAAATCACTAGAAGAGAGCTTGGAATAAAGAACTGAAAGATTTAAATGGTATCTCCTGTACTGCATTTCTCCTTCTCAGATGATACTTTCCCGAGACTTTGACATTTTCTTTTCTTTTTTTAAGCAAGACCGAATCTCAGATTTCTTTGTAATTTGTAGATTGAAAAGCAGCCTTGTCGGTGGAAAACTCTGCTTGACCATTTAATACCTGGCAACAGATCTTGAAGAATTCCTTGATTTTTGATTTTGGAGTGAAGGGCTTTATTGCACTGTTGATGGATTTTAGCTGGTTTTTATTTTCCCACCCTCCTTCCAGGATCTTGGGATTAAAAATAGTCTTCCCCTGCTGCGTTTATCCTCATAATAAAAGTGTAAGACAGGTTAGGACTCATCCAAGACCATACAGCAGGAATTAGATCCTGGGTGTCTAATTGCTACTTAATTCTTTTCTTCCTGCCCTGAACGTTTCTGCCATTATAACATTCAATGATCATTTAAAATATTGAGGACTTGCCCTACAGTTGGCAAGTTAAGATTGAGAGGGTTTTCTAACCTGCTTTTTGAAAACAGCCCATAGTTAATTGGCCAGCAAAATAACCGCATGAAACAACTTTTCTACATTCTATAAAATTCTATCGGACAGAATTTTGGTTAAAATTTGCTACGTTCCTCTAGTTTCTCTTCCTCTTTTCTTCTCCAAACTCAGTGTGTTGTACCAGATTCCAGCTCCGTCTCCAGAATGGTGACCTTCATTAAAGATCACCCGGAGTTAGAAACCGTTATCTACCCAGATGAGAAGCAACCGCTGTATGTCCTTCAGACGAACGACTCCTACACTCAGGTAGTGGTGGACAAAGTACGGGATGCCAGCAACGTCTCCCATGACGTCCTCTTCCTTGGAACTGGTGAGTTTGCTGGGGAAGGAAGTGGGTGACCAAAAGACCTTCTTCAGCTCCAACCAGGATTAAGAATGGGGCTAGACTTTGAAGGAACCTATTGAGGTTCTGCATCCACTCTCAGCTGAAGCCCTCTTGATTCTGCAAAAGTACTTGAAAGGACCCCACCCTTCGAGGCAAGCCATTCTCACCCCTTGGCTGGATTAGACCCAAGGGTTATCTAGTAAAGCATTCAGCCCCCTCCCTCTAAACCAGAGTTCTGCTTTTCTTGCGGTGACAGCAAAAGGGAAGATTCATAAAGTTCTCCGAAGCAAAGAACGGACGGTGATCATTGCTGAGATCAGCCCCTTCAAGAATGAAGCACCTGTCAGGAACATGATTCTGGATGCCACCACGGTAAGGGGAAGGAAGGACCTGTTGGTGGCATTTTGGGGCAAATATGGGGCACCATCACAGCTAATATCTCCCAGCTCTCTGGGTTGGGCGGCCAACAAAAAAGAGAGTTGGCATTTGACTTCCACTCCCTGAAAGAAGGTAAAGTTGCATTGCCAGTAATGTCAAGGGATCCATATAGGGGCACCCTTCTTAGCTTGCAACGTTCCCTTTCAAGAGATGCATTTCCCAAATCTGGAGGTGGTCCTAGATAGCAAACAGAATAGGGACTTCCTTCCTAATATGTTTTTATTCCCATGGCTAAGGAACCAACTTTGCTATCTTCATCTCTTACCCGAATAAATCTATCACCAAGATTCAACGTATGAAGGGTTTGAAACAGGGAAGGGTGTCCCATTTCCTAGCACCAGACAGGATCTCCACAGCCTCCTTGACTGAGTTCCTTTCTTCCTCTTGCACTAGAATCCATTTTGTCTCCGGTAGGGCCATCTCTACGTGAGCACCGAGTTTGAAGTGACGCGTCTGCCCCTGAAAGACTGCAGCCAGTATAATGAAAATTGCTGGAGGTGCATCTTGGCCCGGGACCCTTACTGTGGGTGGGACGCAGCTGGAAAGAGTTGTTCTGCCGTCTCCCAGGAAAACCACGCCAACAGGTCTGCCGAAAAGCAGCAGGAACGGAAGTGGGGTCTTGGGGGAGGGAGAACGCTCTGTGCATGATCCTCTGACGCCCAGAGCAGTCTTGTGTGACTTAAGTGTTTAGTTAACACCAAGTATGAGATTGTTCACTAGGCAGAAGCGAGGTGCTGAACTAGCTGGCACCTTGCCTCGGTGCAGCAAAGTTCTTGAGATGTTCCCCTGCTGTCCTTCAACAGGTTGATTCAGAGCCTGGATGCACCAAGCACCACGCAGGCGTGCAAAACAGCTGAAGGTAAATCTGTTTCTGGCAGGGACTTGTCGTGTTGGTGCACGTGGCCTTAAAGGGTCTCTCTGTCTTGTCATGATCGATCGATCACACAGGAGCCATGGATGCAACCTAAGGGAGGACCTCTAAAACAGACCTTAGGAGGGTGGGCAGGTCTAGAAGGATGTTGTTGTTGTTGTTTAGTCGTTAAGTCGTGTCCGACTCTTCGTGACCCCATGAACCATATTGCGCCAGGCCTTCCTGTCCTTCTAGAAGGATAGCGCCCCATAAATTTAGTCGTTAAGTCGTGTCCGACTCTTCGTGACCCCATGAACCATATTGCGCCAGGCCTTCCTGTCCTTCTAGAAGGATAGCGCCCCATAAATTTAGTCGTTAAGTCGTGTCCGACTCTTCGTGACCCCATGAACCATATTGCGCCAGGCCTTCCTGTCCTTCTAGAAGGATAGCGCCCCATAAATATAATGGCCAAACCTCTGAAAAGTGTCTGGAATATGGTTATAGAAGCAATGCAGTAGGATTGGGACGTGGGACCATCGTTGGCTTTGGAGCCAGATGTTGACCTCTAAGCCAGGAAGGACCAAGATAACCAGTGAGGAAGTTGGCTTGATTAAATTTGCTTTTGATTATGCCCCCTTTGAGGAGGCGCTCAAAGCATTCCTAGGACGGGTAGGGCTGGTCGGTCTCACCTGGCGCATCCTCGCCCTCAATATTTCTGGCACTGCAATTGAGAAGGGTTGAGCTGGGTCGCGCCCTGCCCTCCGACCCACCCTCACAAGCATTTTAATTTGACCACTCTCGTGAGGGACCTGAAAGCTATTCCTTTTCCTTGCTTGGGGGGGTCTCTGCCTTACCCTTCCTCTCTCCCTAAATGCCGGACACGGTAGGAAAATTAGCCCAGGCTGCCATCAAGAAAGTCAACGTGGATCGCACGGCTTACGTCTACCTGCCCTGCCCTCTGAGGTCACACCACGCCACCTACAGTTGGGTCAAGGACAGCAAGGTTTACCCCTGTTCCATGGAAGATCAATCGTGCACACTCCGCTTTGGCCAGGACCTGCCGATGGATGAGGGGGTCTTCAAATGCACTGCTAGAGAAGAAGGTTACAAGGAGGAAATTACGGCTTTCGAAGTCAGTCTCAGCAGCGGAAGGATTCTGGAGCTCGCTCTGAGGGCTTCAGGCGCCGTGCTCCTTGCCATAACGATTCTCTTGCTATAGACCAGATCCCTAGCGGAGGAATGGATTCCATCATACTGCCAACAATCTCTTTTTCATTTCTCCCCCTTTTTAAATAACGGGCTTTGGACGCATCCAGCCGCTCCTACAAATTCTCTTGGCCATGCAGATTGACCCCAGGTTGCAGGAGAGAGACGTAGGGCTCTGTCTGGATGCCTCACACATGCGTTTTTCCTCCTCTAGGTCACCAGGCTGTCCAACCGTAAACCCAAGGTTGGTCTTTTGGTCATTTCTAAAAGAACACAAGCTTTAAGCAGGGGGGGAGAGCCAGTAAGAGTTAAGGCAGGTGCAAGGAGAACAAATGCTTTGTCTGGAGAGATATAGCAATCGAAGAGTTTATTCTCGTCTGGAAGTGGAATTTAAGAAAGTCCCTCTAAGTCATGGGGACTTCATCTGGCTTCCTGGTCACCCTCCCCAACTTGGTTTGCTCCCAGCTTTGAAGGGCCAAATGCTCCCAAGTTGTGCAAGAAATATATCCTGGGCACGACCTCCGACCCTGTCTTTTTAACCCTTCTGGTTGCATGTGCTACGCCACGGCGAATTGTTTTATTGCTGGAAAGAACGAAGCCAGTTACGCCTTCCGGTTGAGCCCTGGAGGAGTTGAGCATTTTTTATTTTGTGGCCAGGGAATGTGCCTGATGGTTCAACTCACACCTGGGGTCCAAAATCTCATCTTGAATAACGTCCCCCAGATAAGGTAACGTCACCTTAAGAGACTCGCAGCCGGAGGAATGTCCATGGGAGGAAGGAAACGGGCGATGGAGCAATATTTCACCGTATCTCACAGCTAGTTGGATCGATCCGGCTCCAGGGACGATGCCCGGAACAGTGCTCAGAATCCTTCGTCCGTCGCAAGCATCCGTGGCTCATTTTGAGTTGTGCTACCGTTACATGGATTTTATTCCCGTTCGGCACTGAAGCATTGCACCTGGGAAGTGTATTTTCACCAGGCTATGCTGCACCGGACTTGACTGCACGACCACTGTCAAACTGCTTTGCGTCTGCGTGTTCAGTCTTTCCACGGTGGACTTTCCATGGCTCTAGCTTGGCGGGGGGGGGGGGGCTTCTGAACTATGATGGGCTCACGCTGTTTCTATTTCCTCAAAGGGTCTGGATGAGTCTTGTATCGAGCCAGCAGCATCATGTGCCTGCTAAAAAAGCGAATGCCACCTTCAGCTATATTAACAGAAGCATCGTGCCCCAGAAAACAGGAAGTAATAGTTGGGTTCTGTTCCGTGTTGGTTAAGATAGGCCTTCTCTATCACGTGTGCCGTTCCAAGGGCCGCTTTTATGAAGGACGTAGATACATCATGGGTAGAAAGGCAGTTAAGTAGAGGGTGTCAGCCATCGCTCAGGGAGTTCGATATAGTTCAAGGGTGAAGGTATTGGAAGTGTAGGTCCAGGTTTAAATCCATTTTCAGTCATGGAAGCTCCCTGGATGATTTTGGCCCAGTCCCCCCCTCTCAGCCTAAACTACCCCACAACTGAACTCCTGGAGAAAAGACAGGATATAAATTTAACAAATAAATATATGCCTTAGCTGCATCTCAAATGGCAGAACTAGGATTAAGCTAGATGGTCTCTGAGATTGCTACACATTCATAATTTCTTCCCTCCTTCCCGTGATCTTTTCCATCTTTCCCTCGAAAGTTATGACCTCTCTTTTTTAGAATTATTGTTATGGATTTTTTTTTAATAGAAAAGTTGTAAGAAATCTACCTGCAGAAAAGAAGAGAGTTGGAGGGTAGAAAATACACATTTCTAGGGGGAAGGAATAAGGAACCTGTAAATCATCTAGGAGGTGCTTTGCTAAGAGTTGCGTTCACGTTAATGGAAAGAAACTCTTCTCTATGCAAAAGAAAAAATGCATAATTTTTTTTTTTTTTACTAGTGTGTCCATTGATCTCAGAAAAAAGTCAAACAAAGAGCTACGGTCCACCTGAATGCTGTTCAATTAAACTTAGCGCATCTCCCCATGAACCTCCCAACGCTGATTAAAATCCCTGGAGTCTGCAAATTTCTGTGCTGTCTTTTCATAGGGCCTGACATTAAAGTCCAAATGGCTTTTCCAGGAAATAAGAAAGCATAGAAGCTCTTTGATTTTCCTTTCCAGCACAGTAATAGAGAAGCAGAAACACGTTCCAGGTAGGGAGAAAGTGGAAGAAAATGGATTTAGACCCCAAAGAAAGGGAGACTGTCAGCTGATGTCTGGCTCTATGATTTGAGGGTTTAATTATCGTCCTTTCCAATAATTCAGTTTGGTTTCTGCAATTACGATCACCCCGTGTACGTACAAGCCATGATGATTAAACGGCAGCTTGCAAATCTCAGTCTCTGTTCAAAAGAAACAAACACGTTTCTCGTCCTTGTGGTTCCGGATCTTATTTATGGATTGCTTTGCTTGTTTGTAATGTTATCTGTCATTTGCCAATACATGCAGTTACATTCGGTACTCCGCCTTGCCTTTCTCATCTGTTCTTCTCTTTGAAGCCCCCGTGTTTTAGCCTCGAAACTGGTTTTAGTTGGAATTCCTCGCAGATGTTTATAGCTGGCTGGGGGATTCTGGGAGTTGAAGTCCACCCATCTGAAAGCTGCCGAGGTGGAGAAACGTTGAATTAGAGGTTTGGGTGGGGGAAGGCGTCACTTAAAAAATGGGGTGCAAAGTTTCCGGCAGGCAAGGAAGGGAATCAAAAGCGCCGACGGGGCAATTGTGTTACGGTTCCCTTGCCCATCGCTCACTTTGATCCCCACCTTATCAGACCAAGAGATTTTGGCCTCTCCCTCCCGCCAGACTCAACATTCAGGCTTCCTGGACTCGGCCCGTCTGCAAATCCAGCCACTGACATTCATCGAGATTTAAGGCCGGGCGAGAATCCAACACATGATGGTTTATTCTGCCACGGGTGGTCGGAGCTCATCGCAAACACGCAGCCACGATCGTCTTGGGTTTTCAGCAAGCCGCCAACGGAGCCGGCCCGTTGCACGTCCAGCCAAGTTTGCTGGAAATCCATGGGTTAAATTTCCAACTTGGCATAAAGGGTGGTGAAGGTATTCAGCAGGACCCAGGCCAGGCGTTCAAACTTTTAAAAATTTGGGCTGCCTTGCAGGTCATTTCCAAGCATCCTTTTTAACCATCATATGTTTGCCCAGGGCATTATGGGTAATAAATGGAGTCACAGCAGCCCCCTTTGGGCACAGGGCATCCTGGGAGATCTTAGCTAAGGTGCCTCGAGGTCATTGGAAACCACGTGCCCCTTGGGACGTGCCAGAAGGAGAGTTAAATCTCCCTCTCCCGCCCACGCCCGCTGCTGATTGGTTGCGGCCTGCCCCTTCTGTCGCCTATTGGTTGACTCAGGGTCAATTCTAGCCTCCTTTCCCCGGCGTTCCCTGAAATTGCCTCGCTCGTTCCCGATTGGCCACTCCGTTCCTACTCCCACCCTTCCCTGGGCAGTTCTCGCCGCTGATTGGCGTACGTGCTCGCGCGTGGCGACGGGACGGAGCGCGAGGTTATAAATAGCGAGTCCCGCAGAGCAGAAGCGCGGAGACGCTGAGCGGAGGCGGCGGGGAAGGTAGGGCTTGCTGGGCTCGCGTTGTGGGCGGGGCGTCAAGCGGGAGGACCGCAAGGAGAACTTGGATGCCCACGGGAAAAGCGGGGCGGGGAGGAATAATTTGCAAATCGTATTTGCAAAAGACATCTTGAAATAGGAGCTGATTGCAAGCCGAAGATGAATGATCGCCATGCTTTAGCCGCAAAAAAAAAAAAAAAAAACGCGGGGGGACAACAGGTAAATTCTATTTCAAGCTGCATCGACGGAAACGGAGCGGGGAGACGCACACCCCAATACCGTCACCAGTTCTGGGCACTAAAGGAGGAGAAATTAGAGGAGGGTCGAAGAACAGCGGCGAGAAAAATTTAAATTTCCGTTTCTTGTTGCAGCTGGGAAATGGAGCTGCCGCGGGCAGAGGCAGTGTATCTGATGCCGAAGGCGTTCAGAGGAGGGAGGGAAAAGAAACAGTGGGAAGGAAACGGGAATGGCCCACTCCTGAATTAAGAACAGCTTCCTGGTGGTTAAGGTTTAGATCAGTGTTTCTCCACCTTGGCAGCTTGAAGATGGGTGGGCTTCAACCCATCTTCAAGGTTGAGAAACTGGTTTAGACGATGAGTAAGCCCTTTGCGAGCTGAGCAGCTGTGCAGGGACCGAGAGGGAGGATATGTTCTGCAGGACCTACGTGGGCGCTGCCAACGGCAATTTTAAATTGGCAGAGGAAGCTATGCTATCGGGCACTGCTCCGAGCTTCCGGGGGTCGTTCCTCCAGCAGAATCAGCAGAACGGCAAATGCGATCCAGCCGATCAATGGATGGGCGGCTTGTTACGCCGCTGGGGGGGATCCAGGACTCTGGGCAGACCTTGGTCGATGGACTTCCTGGCTCTGCAGGAGGAGGGGAGCTCAGAGCTGCCAGCCTTTCCTCCTTTGCTCCGGTGGGGGGATGCTGGGGTGGGATGGAGGCAGCCCTGGGCCTCCCTTGGGCAGTGGGGGCGAGAAGCCAAGCCGTTGACGGGCAGCCTCATTGCTTCGATGCTGCTGCCTCCCCAGGAGCTTGACAGCCCGCCATGGCCGACCAACGGGGCTCCTGCGGCGGCCTGACCGGGCTGCAGAAGATCGCGTTGGGCCTCGGGATCCCAGCCAGCGCTGCCATCCTCTACATCTTGTACTGCCGGTACCGGGAGGAGCAAGGTGAGCACACCGGGCCCCCACCCTGCAACGTGGACTCCCCCCAGCCCAGGCGGGATGCTCGGTTGTTGGCCCAGCAGCCGAACCTCGGCTTCTCTGCCGTTCTGTCTTTTGTCCATGTCTCTCCCTGGGTGGGTGGGGTCTTCCTTCCCTTGGGGCTTCGAAACGGCCGGGCAGAGAAGGGCGGGATGGGGTGATGCTTTAGGAGAAGAGCAGGGGCGTCTGATCCAGAAGGAAGGCCCGCCTGGTTTAAGTTTTGGAACAGACAGGCTCGTTCCTAGCAAGATCAGGCATGAGGCATTTCAATGCTCTTTCCTTTGGGAGGGGGCTTTTGCTCCTTCATGCTTTACCAGGTGTAGGTGGAAGCCCTTGGAGAGGTGGGGGGGACTGTCCGAGTCTCCTCCTTCAGTTTTGGTTTCTCCTTGGCGCGTCCAGAAGAGCGGGTGCCCTTCGTGGGGGAGGAGGAGATTGAAGCAGAGCTGAAGGTGCCAAAGGAGGCTGTGAAGATCCTCATCGGGCGGCACGGGGCCAAGGTGAAGCAGGCAAGTCCAAGCAGAGGGCTCATGGGTGGGAGACCCCCTTGGGGCCTTTTGTGAGGGAAGCGGGAAGGGTCTCGGAAGAACTACAGAAGCAGGGCAGACCCCAAAGCCTGCTGCCAAGCTCTTTGCCCCCTCTGCAGCTGCAGAAGGACACCCGTGCCCGCATCGACGTCAACCTGGAGGACTCCAGTGAGGAGCGGCTGATCCGGATCTGCGGCTTACCCGTCCAGGTGTGCAAGGCCAAAGCCGCCATCCACCAAATCTTGGCGGACAGCTTGCCCGTGACAGAGAAGATCTACGTGCCGCACCAGGTGGTCGGGCGCATCATCGGTACGCGTTCCTCCCCTCCCTTTCTCCCCAAACCCCTCAGAGCTTTCCTGACGGGGAGATGGCAGCAGCAGGAAGGGCCGTGGCCTTCAGCTGGCACCCGCATGGAGGCTCCAGGGAGCTGGAGACACCGATGCTGCCCCGGGCTTTCAAGCAGGGAGGCGAGAGCCAGGTTTCTGAACAGTTTGGCAAGCTGGCAATTGAGAGTTCGAATTTGGCAGGGGAGGGGGTTGTTTCTTGGTGTCGGTGTTCTTTGTTCCCGCTGGGGCAAATGGGCTGTTTGCCTTGCTGCTGCTTCTCCTTCTCCAGGTAGGGGTGGGGAGACGGTGAAAGCCATGTGCCGGAGCACCGGGGCCAAGATCCACTGTGAACGGGAAGGGGAGGGGGCTCTTTCGCTCACCCGCCTGATCACCCTCTCTGGGACTCGCAAAGAGGTCCAGGCTGCCATGGTAAGCCTCCAGGGCCGGGCTGGGTTTCTCTCTTCCCCAACCCCGTCCCCTCTGAGCATGCAAGGATCTGCCGCTCGAAACGGCGGGTTTCCAGCTTGATGCTGCTTACAGTCCCAGCGGCTACGATTGACGGAGCCGAGCAGGTGAGAAAGCCGTTGGTGGCTTATGCTACAAGTGGTCAGATGCAGTATTTGTAAATGGCTTAATAAAGAAATGAACAGTGAATGAATGAATGAATGAATGAATGAATGAATGAATGAATGAATGAATGAATGAATGAATCAGTTACCCTGTTGTGTGGGAGACACGCACCCCCTTCAGCTTTTCCAGCGACTGAAACCCTGTAACTCTCCTGCTGGAGTTATTGCTTTGGCCCTGTTGAAGTGCTGCCCGTACGATATTCTGAACCCCTTTGGGGAGGTCGCTGGAGATTGCCCCCTCCCTGATCTGAGAACGGCAGAGTTGAAGTCCACCTCTTTCAAGGGTGTTGGGCCACCTCTGTAGCCGTATCTCAGTTGGAGAAGACCACCCGGTGTCTTCTCTGGGAGGTGATCATGGCCTACCTTGTAAAGTCGTTGTGCAAAAGACAGCAGAGTTCCGACCAGGTGGACAAGGCTGTGGTTCCCATCATCCCCAAATGGCACGGCCAAGAGGGAATGCAGGGGAACAGGAAATTGGGGGCCACACAGGGAGGTTCAGGGCAGCCACTACGCATGGCCCATCTCAGCATTTTCATGCCGCACAGGAACTGATCAGAGAGAAGCTTTCGGAGGACGAAGCTTTCCGTAAGAAGCTGTCTCAGTCGGTGTTGGTGCGTTCTCAGCGGAAGCAGGCTCTGGGCACCCGGAGGGAAGCAGCGGCTGGCGATCAGGGGAATCTGCCTTACCTGGACACAGAGCCTGTCTGTTGGACGCCGGATCCTGGGCACCGCCGAGGCTCTGGAGATGGGCACCCAAATTATCCCGCGGGGGATCCCCAGGACGCTTCTGGGCCAAGTTCTGCTTTCGAAGGTGAGGGAAAGGGGAGGCTCCCTCCTTCCTCGGCTGCATTGTCACCCAGCACGCTGGTTGGAGGTAGACTGCTTGGGAATTTGGAGGATCGGGCTGGGTCTCACGACCTGAGCGTGTGATGGTCTCCTGGAAAGCCATAGATGGTTTTCTACTTTTCTGCTTTAAAACGGGAGGTTGAAGATTCCCAGTTGAGCTGTGCGAGGGGTCCACCTGAGGGCGTTGGAAGGCCTGCATGGCCACCCTCAGCTTAGTTGCCACGAGCCAGGTCCTGGCTTGGGGCCCCCTGACTCATCAGCCTTTCCTTTCAGTCCCCAGCCCGGATTTCAGCATCCACGCCAACGAGCACCTCGAGGTCTACGTCTCGGCCACCGAGAACCCCAGCCACTTTTGGATCCAAATCATCGGCTCGCGGGCCCTCCAGCTTGACAAGCTCACTCGGGAGATGACGCAGTACTACGAGAGTGGCGATGGCGGCATGGTGAGGCCCTGGCACATTCCTCCTGGAATCAAAACGCGGGAAGGCTGTAGGTCTCCATCCCCTCGCATCACCCCTGTCCTTTTGTCTCTCGCCCAGCCGGAAGCCCAGAGCGTGCACGTGGGGGACATTGTGGCGGCCTTCTATCCGGATGATTGCTCCTGGTACAGAGCCCGGGTCCTCGGCACCTTGGACGATGGGAACCTGGACCTTTATTTCGTGGATTTTGGTGACAACGGAGAGGCGCCTTTGGAGAAGCTGCGGCTGTTGAGGTGAGGGCTGGATGGGGGGGAAGAACCCAGGCCGGCGGGACGGAGGACCTAATCCTGCCACTAGGATCGTCCACAACACTTGGACTTCAGTTCCCACCTCCTTGTTAGCAAGAGGTTGGGAATGTCATGGTTTGAAACTTCTGGAGAACATCAGCTGGCCTTCTCCTGGGCCAGCTGACCAGAGTTTGCCAGGGGGCTGTGCCACACCCTTAACAGGCACAGATAGTGGACCTTCTCTTTCGAGTGTGGCAGTGACACGGCGACGTTCTAGAGTTGAAAGTTGGTGGCAAGGGAAGTTGGTCCAAGCTTCTTTGAGTCTTAACGCACTGCCCGAAACCTGCCCCCAATACTCAGCTTGGCCACCAACTTTCAGCAAGCTCCTTCTGAAGGTGTGGTGTGGGCTGGCAAAATGGGGCTGAGTCCCCACACGGCTGGGGTGACGTGAAGAAAGCCCCTTCCCTTTTTTTTCCTGATTTATAAGCCATGCTGAAAAGCTGTTTAAAACTCAGATGATGGGCTCGATAGGAAAGGCAAGAACAGAGGGGTGGGGGGCAGAATGGGGACCTTCTGCCTCCCCTTAACCTCCTGTTTTCTTTTGAAGGACCGACTTCCTTGGTCTTCCGTTCCAGGCCATTGAGTGTGGTCTGGCCAGCGTAGCTCCTGCTGGTGAGTCCCTCCGCCTTCTTCCTTTCCCTGGGGAGATGTTGGTTTCCCCCCTAGGATTTTAGCTGTTGCCTCCATCTTCCCCGAATCCTAGCCCCGCAAGCCTCATGCATCCCTCAGGGCAGCTGGCCCATGTGCCAATGCTCCGTGACAGCCTTTCCTCCTCTGCTCGGCTACGGCAACTGAACTTTTTATCTCGGGGCTGTTGAGCCAAAGCAAAGGCTTCTGGGTGGGCGTTTCATCAGGCTTTCGCCTTCTGGCACTGACTCGGATCGTCCCCTGCCCTGGAACAGGGGAACGCTGGGAAGAAGCTGCCGTGGATGAATTTGACCGCCTCACCCAGTGCGCCAAGTGGAAGCCGCTGATTGCCAAGGTCTCCAGCTACGTGCCTTCCGGAAGTAGCATGTGGCCGCGCATCCGCTTGTACAGCCCCACCGACGGGCAGGTGGGATGATCCTGGGTTGGATCTTCTTTCTTAAAAAAAGAAATGCTTAAGGGCAAAGTTTGGCCCAGTGAGCGCGGGTTGACAGCCCGGCTTCTCTTCCCAGAACGTCGACGTGGGAGAGGAACTGATACGGTTGGGCTACGCGGTGCGGCGGTCGCAGGAAGAAGACGGTGCCCCCTGTCCGTTCGACGAAGGGGAAGCCTTGAGCGAGCCCCTCGGGACCCTGGTGAGTAACCACGCCATGGATCCTTCCTTTCTGGGTCTACTGGCTTTGGCAGGAAACGTGGCCAGTCTCGCTATGGAAGACTGGGCAGGGTCTTTTAACAGGCGAATTAAATTTTAACGGGGTCCGTTATTTTTAACATCTCTTCCTATTTTTTGTTTTTTTATACTTTGGAAGGTATTTATGGATGCGTTTTTTTTAACCTTGTACGCTGCCCAGAGTCGCTTGGAAAAAAGCGAGATGGGCCGCTAATGAATTGTGTAAATAAATAAAAACGAAATATCCCTGCCCTGGCGTTTGGAATTGCAAACTTGGGTGCTGAGTGGGCTCCCAGGACAGCAGAAAAGCCAGATGTTAAATGGTTTTAAGTCTTCCTCTGGCTGACATTTCCACGTTGAGCTTGGAGTGGGGACCATCTGTGACCCTGCTGCTCTGCCTCCCCGAGGTAGAGTTGCTCCCCCAGTTTCCTTTTTCTTTTTTTTGCTGACCAGAGACAGAGCCTCCATAAGAGGAAAAGAGCTGGCTTTTTGTTTGTTCTGCCTGATGTGCCCCTCAAAAATGGCCCGAAGCCTTCGGGGATGCCTTTGGGGCTGGGTAGATCTGCCAGCCATCGTGCCAAGGGGGCATCGTCCAAGCCACTCGCCTGCTTGTTTTCGTAGGGAAAGCCACCTGGGACATCCTTGGAGAACCTTCTCTCGGATATGCAACAGAGCCCCGATGAGAGACTGCTCAGCCCGTCCTGCCCCAGCCTTTCAGGTACCCTGCTGTATCCGTATGCGTGTTTGCGTGGTCTGCCTGCGCCCAAGCTGCAGAAAATGATTGTCGGTACGTTGCACTTCGCAGATACGACGTGTTTTTTTAACAAGAACCTCTACTGGCAAAAAGATTACGACTCGCAGGAGGTTGAGAGGATGATTAGCATTTTTTAGCAATGAAGTATTTTTTAATTAAGATGCGCACATCGGGGGTTTTTTAAGACATAGTGCTATTGCCCACCGAATAGATTACAGTATTGTGTAAACGTAACTTGTGTATGCACCAGGAAACCAAAAAATTTGTGTGACTCGCTTGATTGCGGTGGCATGCAACCGAACCCGCAGTATCTCTGAGGTGTGCCTGTACACGCAATTACAGGAGGCCACGGCCTTCCCCAGGTTGTGTCCAACAGAAGGATTCTTTTTTTATTCCCCGAAATGATTGCTGATTTGCCCCCTTTCTCTCAAAGGGCCTGGCCCTTTCCTCGTCGCCCTGTGTTTTTTTTTCTGTTGGCCAGTAGCTCGAGCTCCTGCACGATCCTTCTCCCAGCTCCCATCTTTTCCCACTTCCCCATCCCGCCTGTCTGGGGTTGGCGTCCAGAATGCCAACCCTGTCTCTCATTCTGCAGAGGTAGCCTCCATGTCAGAAGGGGGGGACCTGTTCCTGTTGGAGGAGAACTCGTTGACGCCATGAGCCTCAGAGATCCCGAGATCCCAGGAAGGCCGGTGAGGGGCACTTGATTGGGGGAGAATTGAAGCATTGTGCACCAAGAATGGGAGGCCCTTTGGTTGCTTGGGGGACAGTGTTGGACCCTCTAAAGTCTGGGGCCCTCTTGCTTTGCGTGGGGCTGCAGATCCCAGCCCCCTAGTCCAAGCTTGCAAGGCCCAGATACTTAGTTAGGGAAATTTAACATGGGATGGCTTGGTCTAAACTAGGTTCCCCGGCCCAATATTTTGGGGCTGCCCCAGTCGAGATTTCTACTGCGGACCCAACACCTCTGGAAAAGGGACTTTGAGGAAGTGGACCTTAACGTCTGTCTCTTCTGCTTCAGATCCTCCGCCTGGAACGGAACAGAGGGAGCCTTGTTTCTTTGAGGGGGCACGGGAAGATCCCACCGCCGGAGGGACCATTTTGGCATCCTGTGGGGGACGTGCGGCCACCAGTAGTCTCTTGGCACCCCAAGAGGGAGCTTTATTAGCACTGTTCAGATGCATTTGGATGGCTAGTCGGGGATTGATCTGAGCTGGTTTTGACCAAATACGAGCCGCCCGCATCTAAGTTTTCTCTGGGCCAGGCTGGGAAGTTCCAAGGGAGAGGACTGGATGGCTGTTTCTCCCCCAGAACATGACTGTTCATGTTCAAGTTGGGCTGTTAGACCCTGAATCCACCCTTTCTTTCTGACCCGAAACACATTTTTGGTCCCCCACCTGTCTGGAAAGGGGTGGGGCAGCCTGCTTCATCTTTGGCCTAAGCCCCAACGCCTTGTACCCCATGGCGTTGGTCTAAAGTTGTCAAACGGGTTGTCTGAAAGGACAGGGGGACGCGGGAGAGTTCGTTTTGCAAGAGTTGAGTTTTGTTTCGAGCCTGCTGGGGTGGGACAGCTACACGGAGAGGTGGGACGTGAATGGCGGTGGTGAGGTACCTGTGGCAAACTTCCAGTGAAGCTTTTTCGTTTTTATTTTTGTCTGAAATAAAAGCTGGCATTTGGCATTTCCTCTCCAGAGTCAAAAATGCAGCAGCCAGGGGTTGGGAGAGGATTCAGCCAGCAGGGGCCAGAGGTTTGCTTTGGGGGGCTGTGAAAGAGGTTGCGTGTCTCGTGGCCATGTATTTGACCCCCATCTTTGCCCTTCTCGCTCGTGGGAGGGGATGGGAGACTTGGGGACGGGGGAGTTGGGTTCTCCAATAAGCACAGCTAACCCCTCCCTCTCCAGTCAGTCGAAAGCTGCTGAGCTTTTATGCCAGTTTAATGCCGTTTTGGGGGGCCCTGAAGTCAAGGCCCTGGTCAAGCTGCTTCAGAGAGGCTCTCCATTGGCACCGCCCTGTCCTGCCTCTGAGCCCTGGAGGCATCTTCCTGCTGCTGCTCCCAGCCGAGATCGCGTTCCAGGGGGTAAGCCATGAAAATGGTGTCTTCCCAGGGGGGCAGGGCAGGATGATCCGGGGACACGAGTTCAAAACCCAAGAAGCCAAACGCCCGTAGCAAATCGCCTTGGACAAGGGGAAAGCGGGATTAGCGGCACAAGTAGGAGAGAGCGCCCATGGAAATGCACGTACCACACACCTTTGAGTTTCTGCTCCTTCTGGACTCCAGTTTAGCAGGATATGCTACTCAAATTCAAGTGGGGCTGGTCAAAACCCTTCTTCTGTTTGCGAGGTTCAGACAATACACTTGCCTGCTGAGAAACTATTTTACCAGCCTGTTGGGGAGCCTCGTGGTGCCACCCATCTTCTAGTCCCTCTGATCTCGTTCTTACTTTTCCTCCCCTTTATAATTTTGATCAATAACAAAATACAACCTTGGCTTTTCTTTCTGAGGTTTGGAATTCACTACCAGGCCCAACCCCGAGGCTAAAACTTGGGAAAGCCTCCCCTTACCTCGGTCTCGCCGAGATTTGTGGAAGTTCACCAGCACCTGCTCCGCGTCTGTTTTTTCCTCCGTGTATTCCAGCGTGGCAGTCAAGCTAGGAACAGATGCAAGCATGTGGTCAGCGATTCAGGCTTTATAATATGCGGTCCTACAAGGCAGGGATTTCTGACTTACCCTCAGTGTCCTCATTGTGTTCTGAACATTATGATGTTGAGTCTGCTGGAAAAGGAGCCTTTTCTTGATTCCTGTTTGTGAGTTCTTGAGAGCTAGCAGCTTGCTTCCAATATTTTAAACAGTCCTCCCTCCTCCTCCCTGGATGCCAACCTCTGCTTGTCCTAACCAAAATGCCATCTTTTTCTGCAAAGCACATTTTGCCTTCTCACCTTTCACGGCTGTTGAACTCCAGGGCAAGATGTGGGGTGTCAAGGAAAAGCATGCGTCCGTGCAAAAGGCCGTGCCAGTGAGCGGTGCCCTGGTTCCCACGGGTAAAATGAAAATCCAGCTGCACTGGCTGATCCGGTTGCTGACCGTCGTTAGCAAAAACAGTGAGGTTCCCAGCCTGTTGTGAGGTCAGGGAGATTGTATGAAACACTGATTAGGGGATTATGACGTTACAGCAAGAAGTTGCATGCTCGCAGATTAAATATTTCTCTATTTTTTTTAGTGGTACTTGTGTACATCTAAAGGAGAGTGATAGGCTGGTAGTGTAAAGCAGTATTTTTCAAACTTGGCAACTTTAAGATTTGTGGACTTCAACTCCCAGAATTCCCCAGCTAACTTACTGTAAATTACAAATGTGTGTCTGTGTGTATTGCATCCCCTTCCTCGCCTTGAACATTATACCATGCCCCAGAGGACACGCCAGAAAAAGTGGGGTGCTGCAGTCTTCCTGGAATGGCTGCCTTTCACAGCCCATCAACCCTCCCCGCTGGTCAGAGGGCACCCCAAAGGTTTGAAACCAAGCCTTGGCGTACTTTGTAGATTTCACTTGGGCTCAACTTGTCTGCTGGGCCACTGTGTCTCTGCTGGTTTGGGCGGGCGCCCTCGAACTCAGGAACACTGCAGGCAGTAGCGAGGGCGGATGCTCAAGATCTCGGGGCGGGCAAGGGTTGCCCTGGCAAAGGAGAAGAGGAGAAGGGTTAAAACGGCTGGGTTTTCTGGAAGGCAGACGCCATGGCCAACAAGGATGCTCAGAGCGGCTGTCTGGGATTGCCAGAAAGGTGACATTTTTTATTCTTAAACCTCCCATCTTTAATCCTTTCCTTTCTACCCGAGCTGAATATAGGGTAAATAAGCCCGCCAAGTCGGGCGGTCTGTGGGAAACACATGGACAATGTGGGTAGGTTGAAATGCCCAGGGATCCTTCACCATCTGTCCTGCAAAGCGAAGATTTGCAACGCCAGCCAGCGACCCAGGGGCCTTCATCGTAAGCAATCGAGGCGCAAAACACTTGGGGCATGAAACTTGAACGGGGTGGCACTGGGCGAGGTTCTCTGCCCACCTACCATCCCAGCAACCCAAATGAATTGGCACTGGCTGAACCAGGGTTAGGAGGTCCCATGTCCCATCCGTTGGGAAGGACCCGTTTCTGGCTCTGTGTGGCCAGACTGGCCCCCAGGGGTCAGCAAGCCAGGATTGGTGGCTTGGCCTGGTGGGTGAGCCCACCGGGGCGGGCAATGGGGCTCACTTGCTGTTTGAGGGGGTCATTTTTCTCCACTGTTGGGGGCGAAGTCCCAAAAGCAGCTGAAGTCGGGGGCGAGACGCAAAGTGGGGTCCAAGTGGGCTTGGCGTCACCCCAGAGCGGGCAGTGGGGTCCCTGGACAATCTCTGGCTTGCGGGTGGCGCCTCCCCAGGATAAGTGGCTCCTGAGGGCCAGGGCCCCATTGTGACCCGGCGGCCCCAGACCCGGCAACTGGAGGCACAACAGACCCCATTGTGACCACCCTGGGCCAGGCCAAGCTCCTCCCACCCACTGGCCCCGCCCACAGTGGCTTGTCTACATGGCCCCTGGAAACCAGTTTGAAACCGGTTTCTGAGCAGGGGTGGCATGGCTGGCTGGCAAGTTGCCCAGCGGAGGGCTGCCTTGCGGGGTTGTTTCTTTCCCAAAGGTTAAAAGCCTTCAGGGTCATAGGAAAGAAAACACTCGGCACATGCTCAGAGGCCACGTGCTGGGCAGGAGGAAGTCTTTTGTTACCCCCACCCCAATCAGAGGATCTTTGAATGGGGCCTTTCTCATGTTCAGGAGTTTCTGTCCATGCTCAGAGGCACTCTGCCGCCTCTGCTGTTTCGCAGAGAGCCCCCCCCGTGCATGCTCAGACTCCCACAGCTTTGCATCCGTGGCTGACGCGGTCCTCTTTACATGCTCAGAGACCCCTTCGCTCCCACCCCATTACAGGGGGCATGCTTAGAGGCAACGGGCCCCAGGAGCCCCGTGCCGAGAAGAATTCCGCGGAGCCACTTCCCTCCGGCCCGGCCAAGCGAGACGCCAGGGGCTGCCGGGGCGCCGCTACCTGCGGG